CTGATCAGGATCCATGCTGTTCGCTTACCAACTCCACAGACACTTGGGGTTTGGAGCTCAAAACGCCTTTAAAATCAAAATAAAATGCATATTTGTCAATCCCAGCACATGTACTGATCATATATATCAAAAAAACTTAATATAAGCCGTTTTGAAAAAAATTCATATTTCAACATCTATAATAATTATTATAGATGTTGAAATATGAAATTTTTTCAAAACGGCTTATATTAAGTTTTTTTTATATATATATGATCAGTACATGTGCTGGGATTGACAAATATGCATTTTATTTGGATTTTAAAAGCGTTTTGAGCTCCAAACCCCAAGTGTCTGTGACCAACTCTTTTACAACTAGAGAAACTGATAGCGAACAGCATGGATCCTGATCAGACTCCGCGGATACTCAGGCTGGTCTGGATCCATGCTGGTCGCAAACCCATTATGTTGGTAATATCTTAACACTTCTATATTATAAACGTTTAATCGTTCCGTTTAAAACCATTGTCACAGAAGTTTAAAGTAATTTTCTACTTTTTCAGAACGTTCTATCTTTTCCCTTTTCTCAGTCTCTCCCTAGTGAAGATAGATAATTAGTTTACTAATGAATACATTTTAAGGATCAGCCACTCTTTACTAATCCAGAACATAAAGTATTATATTGTAACAACCATAGTTTGCTATGTTAAAAGACTGTTCTGCATTTATTTACTTTAATTTGTATTAACATTGTAGGTTTGGACAAGATAAGATATATAGCACAGACGAAGGAATTGTAATTCTAGATGTTTTTGAATGTAGCAACCCTTGGCCAATACCTGTAAGTAGATTTAGCTTACCTGAGAATAATGTCAGTCGTCATTTGTGCGTCGTTAACTTTCTTTAAACAACAATTCCTCCTAATGCTCACAGACGATTTTGACACAGCAATGATCCTTAGGTGGCCTTCTACAAGAGTTGTATCAATAGTTTTAATCGGGTGCATAAGAAAATCAAGCTACATGTAGATATAAAACAGAACAGAACAGAACCATCAGAAATTTAATTTCATTGACCAGTAGCATTATTTTAAAGTTCTCTACAAAAGTAAACTAAAACATTTCCATAGGATCACAATTTGCCTAGGATTATAGTTTGCCCTGCCCTTGGGTTCATTAAATTAACAAAGGCTTATATACGAAAAGTAATTAAATCTTCTCTGTTACTATATGACCCTGATCTTAGATATTTGATATGCAGCATAGGCCTAAAGCTACGTGCAAACATTGTGCCACGGGGACCAAAATTGTCCCCGCCCGGAGTCATATTTGTTTCATTGACTTGTTTAGTAACACATTTTAAAAAATTTCTGTTCATATAAATCCTATCATTATACTTGCCCTAGAGTTTGTAGATTATGACTTCGTAGATGAAATCAAAGTGCTGCAGCACTGAATGCGACGAACATGCAACCGGAGAGACATTAAGGCTTCTTTTAGAAAAAAAAACAAAACAAAACACAAAATATATAACAGAGAAAATTTGTTCCATACAAGTTCGAGATTTGTAGAGCAATATATTGTGTGTCCCAAACTGATATAATTCAGATTTTCTACTTTCAAGCAATACAGAATGAAATTTATGCCTAAAAACTCTGGTCAAACTTGTAAATCAGTGTCCTTATCGATTTATTCCAAGGAATTATATGTAAATAAAAAAAAACTGTCAACGAAATATTTCTAAAATAAAACCATGCAAATAAAATTAAAACATAATACATTATACATTTGAGAATTCTATTTAGAATTGCTTCGTGTTATATCATAGTGGGCATATAGACAATAAAATATTAGTCATTTTTATTTTTATTTCTCTTGGATATGTCTCATTAAAAAAAAATTGGTTAAAATCATCAGCAATGAATAGTGTATTTTTTAGATGTTTTTTTTTTCACAAGGTAAAGATGTAGAGGCCAGAGCACATCGTTTTTATTTTAATTTAAATGTCACTTAAGCACTACAGTGTTTAGTTGTCCATTTCAATTTCACACTAAATTTCATTTACAACTTGTTTGCTTCTTACATTATTGTATAGAATTTCCAAAAGTATTGCATGTAATCCACTGGTTTATTACATGTATAATGTGTACTCCCTTTAGAATCGCCTGTCCAAAAATCAGAACAGGTGAAGCAGAATCTATTTTTAGAATAGCGAAGGTTAACTCATATCATGACCTAGAAAAATATGTAAACAAACCACAGGAATCGGAAGTAGAACTGATATTATAACTTCCTTACCATGAAAGACTACATGGCGGTAAAGTGTTGAAAAACTCTCTTCTTACATGCATTTTCAAAAATAGATATTTATACTAACCATTGTACTGTATATAATATATTAATAACTGCTGAATATTCAGCTAAACCCGCAGTATGAGTCACGAAAATAGTTCTTCTTTTATTAATGCGCGAGTTATCCTAGAGTCACGAAAAACTTTTGATTTGTTAATAATAATGTTTTGTATAATGTAGAAATATTTATTTCCTACTAATAATGTCTTGGAACTCAGACGTTACACCTTTATTGTAGTATATTTTGCTGTCCTACTTTTTCGACAGCGGTAAATCGTTTCGGCAGTAATTTGCATATTGCGCAATAATACTACGGGACTACAACGTTTCTATCAATAATATACGTTCATATTTTAACTTGGATAACTTAATTTGAAATTGAAAAGGCTAAATATGGAAGATTTTAAGATATCCAGACAAAGTATGGGAGTTTTGAAGGATCAAATTCATGTACTATTTCTTGGGCTGTTAATCGGTTTTGGACACATTGCGCGATTGTAGCCAACGAATTCCCATGTGTAGATGACTTAGCTCTGAACGCGCCTGAGGGCGCGTCCGTCGCAAAAACCGACTTCTCACGGGGATCACCCTTTGCTACATTCTCTAGTATATGAAACAGTGTGACATAACCGTAAAAATAGGTTGGAAACATTGTTTATTGATTTAAGTTGATGTTACCAAAAATACCGGTTTTATGGAAATTATTTATCTTGCCTGTATTTAAGGGATATCCGGTTAGTGTACAATGTGACATAACCAGGTTTGCTTTACAAACATTTTTTTAAATGAGTAAAAAATATTTTTTTCTTTTAAGGCATGGCAGCATGGGGCAAAGATTTTAGTGATAGCTGGAGAAGATGATAAACAAGTTAATCCTAAATGGCATACGTTTTTCTACAACAGTTGTCCCGAGCAATTTAAAGATATCCAGGGGCTGGTCATCTAATAGAACCTCCGTATACACCTCATGCAAGAGTCATAAATGCAGGTCGAAAACGAATGAGTACAGTAAATTTTATTCCAGACAAGTTTCATGGTAAGAGAGACATCTTTATCACAAATTTACTTCCTAGTACCAGCATTATGAAACAAACTTCAAGTCATATTTTTTCTTTAAGCCGTTTTAGTTGTATCTTTATAACCAAAGTTATGAAATGTAAGTACAGTTTGTATTCGGCTTTAAACATATGTTTGTATGGATAGATAGTCACTTACTTTCTACAAGGTAAATATTTCAAAAGTATTTCATAAGTTCCTTACCAATAATGTTACTTGTCAATTGAGCAGGTGCTAGCATGAGGAATGATTACGCCTTGGTTTAGACATATCTTGTAATAGACATTCTTGTAATAGACGTGTATTTTTATTGACGCGCCTTGTAATAGACGTGGCCTGTAACAGACAATCTTGTAATAGTGTAATAGACGTGTCTTGAAATAGACGTGTCTTGTAATATCCGAGTCTTGTAATAGATATTCTTGCAAAAGACGTGTCTTGTAAAAGACGTGTCGTGTATTAAACGTGTCTTGTAATAGACGTGTATTGTATTAAACGTGTATTGTAATAACCGTGTCGTGTAATATACATTCTTGTAATAGACGTGCCTTGTAACAGACGTTTATTGTAATAGACATTTATGTAAAAACTTGTCTTGTAATAGACGTGAAGTGCAATAGACTTGTATTTTAATAGACATGCATTGACTTGAAGTTTAAAGTTAAAAATAGTGAGTTGAAACGATGTTAATAATAAACAACTAAGATTGAGTAGCCATAGATTCTGATAAGACTGGTCTGCAGCCTGCCCTGTCTCTATCATCATTAAAGTGAAAACATTATGAAATATTTCGATTGAATTATTGCTACCTTTTATGATATTTTGGTTGATATATTTATGAGCACAATATTAAGCTTTATAATAATGTTGAAGCAGAAGATGGTATGATTTATGTTTCTTACTTTCAGACGAAGATATGATGTCAGGAGGATGGCCTGAAACACACGCGCATGCGCAAGAAGATTCATGGGAAAAAATATTGTCTTTCTTAGAAGCGAATGTGAAAAATGTCAAACACTGATAGGAATAAAAGTGCATGAAGTTAATATGCTAGTGATTAACATATATCACCGCGTTATTATTAGAGTTATTTTTATGTTTTAGTTTCCACTTGATTATATTTGTAATATTGCGGTATTAAGAACGATTTATATTTTTTTATTTACAATGATTTACAAAGAATCATATAATATAAAGTGCTAATTCAGTACATGTAGTTTGCTTTATCACATACCTTTGCCATTTCTCTGACTCCGTAAGAGCAGTATGGCACGACTATATAACATTGAAGCAAGACATTTCACGTGAAATATAGTCCTAGTCTGTTGTATTTTCAATTATGCAAGGTTTATTTAGTTTTTAAAAATGTGTGTAAATTATGTAAAGAAATTAAATATTGTTAGATATGTTCAAATATTTATTATTGATGATTTTTACTATCATGGAGCTTTCTTGAAAAACGCTATGATTACGCACGTGTCGCTCTTGTTTATAATAGCGAAATCAAACAGACATTTTTGTTTTTCTTTTTATTTTAAATCTATGTGATAAATAGAATATTGAACTCATGTATATACTATATAAAGGATAACAAATGGAGACAACACGAGTTCGTCTGTTTGGCATGAGTGTCGTATACATTATGTAATGAATGCATTGTATGTTTTCTAAGCGAAGAGTAGAGTGAAATGAACAAATTTCATTTGCTTAGCATTTACAAAAATATAATGACACATTCATTCATTTTAATGATTTGTATTTCATAATGCTCCTCTTCCATTTCATTTATTACACATTGTTGTGTTCTTGTTTCTGTTTTCTTGCTTGGCAAATATACATCTAATACTCTTTGTATGTCAAACTTATGTCCACGTTTTACCTATGAACGTTACCATTTTGTGATTTAAAGTTTAATGTTCAATTTACATGGTCATTACACTGTTCCTTACTAATTTTTTGGCTAAAAATACTAGCGAGTGTTGGCTATTGCATTTTTAGCAATTCTTTTGTCTGGCTAAAGATATAAATATATAAAAAAATAATGATTCTTCATAAAGAATTAACACGAATATACAAATTTTGTTTCATGTTTCAGCTGATTTCTGAAATATCAGAATAAATTATAAAGATTATATTAATTAGTTTCGGTGTTGGGTCAAATGTGTCTTTCACTCCTGGCTACATGTTTTCCTTATAAAAAATGAATGTGTATTCTTGTACCGGTGAAATATATTTCGATATCTCATTGAAATAAATATCCTTGATAAAAATAAAAAAAGCTTCACTGAATATACGCAAATCATGTATATAAAAAATCATTAACAAATTTTAGATCAGAAAATCACTAGCAACATTGTCTCTAGTAACGTAAAAGTTCGTTGTTTTAAAGATGTGTTGATGACAAAGAGTCATCAAATGCTTTGTTTATGTGAATTTCCTTGTCGGATTCTTTAACTTTCTCTTCCTCATCACTGAAAAATGGAAATACAGAACAATGTATAAACAAGATATGCCTCAAAAACAACACCAGGAAAAGTTCAATACATATTATGCCCAGCATGACTTTTTCGTTTTCAATTTTCTTTCGTATGTTTTATGTTATTCTATGAGTAGCATTAATTAACTTTAATATAATCTTTTCCAATGTTTGATATATCAATCACCAGTCAAGTTTAAGGGGCTTATCAAACCGTTCTTGTACAACATGCTGCTAAATAAAGAAAATGTTTCATTATAATATCATTCCTTATCATGTCGCAAGCACAAAGCGTTAGAGGTAACAACAGTATAATTTGATTGAGATACTTGTATTCTGTCCTTATATTTTGTATGCATAAAATGCAATATTTGCTACCTGTCGCGGAACTTACCTTCCAAATTTAATCCCTTGTTCGATAGTTTCCGGTAAACTACGTTTTAGTGTCTCCGGAAGATAAAGGGCTAATAAGCCAGCAATTATTGATAACGTTCCAAACACAACTTGAGGCAGAGCTTTTCCAAAACTCCCTCCGACCAGACGATCCTGAAAGTCAAGTTTTTTTTAGATGTGAAGCACATTTGAAGATAACTTACCGACAGAAATCTTATTTGTTTTTCCTTGTAAAAAAACGCAATATTTCGTGTTTACTTCGGAATTTGAAAGATGGGTTAATGTTTGAATAATTTTTTGTTTAAACATTCCTTAAGATGCTTTTAAGAATACACACCATATAGACACAATATAAAAACTATGAGTTTTTCTCAATAAAAAAACGAAATCTATAGAAAAATTAGAAAAACGCAATATTTTATTTATAATTGAAATTGCTGTCGGAAAGTAAAATACAAACCAAATCGGCTATATAGGGAGCAATCATGCCACCAACACGTGCCATACACGAGCTCGAACCCATCCCAGCGTTCCGTACAACAGTGGGAAATAATTCGGCTGAGTATACGTACACCATGGAGAAAGCTGCAGAAGCCCCAATCTTCCCAAGCATAGCTAGAACTTTTGTTGCGATGCTGTACTCTGGTAGATAAGAAATATGTTAACTTTTTATCATATTGTGTTATATGTTGACTAAATCTTGTAAATTGGAATCAATTTAAACAACCCACAACTTCTTATGGACTAACATTTTCCTAAAAGATGAAAACGTCACTCATGTACGTTTACTCTAAAAATAAAGTGTACCTAAGTTAGGAGGACATCTACCATTTATAAGCGCATTCTCAGTATTAATTATATAGACAAGATCAAGTCTTTTATGAGGCTTCTGTTGAAAAGTGCTGTTCAATTGCTTTTCTCAACACATGATTTACATCACATTTGTAGGGCTTTCCAACATGATGGTACATTGTATATACATGTATGAAGTAAAATTCAACAATGGAATTAACATAACTTAAATTGTATCTTAATAAAAAGTGAGAGTCTATTGTGCTATTTATAGTAAGTAAAGATGATACCATTTATTGACATACGCGGTTTTCATTAAAGTTTTGCAAAAAGCTTCATAATAGATGTTACAATATGAGTTTAACCCTTGACCTGCCGTTACCAAATAGCTAAGTCGGTGCCACCAGTATAGAGTAAGACCAGCATATACGTCAATGTAGTCTGAACATACTCTACGCTGCTGGCTTACTAACTTATCATTTTCACCTTGATATCCCCAAAATTGATAATGTACAGTTCCAAAAATGGAAGCTTGATAAGTCCATTTAAGTAATTCAGTAGGGTAAGGGTTAAAATATTCCAATAAGATTATGATGGATACCTTCTCCACCATACATGATGGTAAACACGGTTCCTAGGCAACCAAGCCCTCCTATTATCATACTTCCTACCAGCAAGGGTTTTCTGCCAGTTCTGTCCAGGAGGACCAATGTAATGGTGGTTGCCGGGAAGTCCATGAACGCTTGCAGGAAGAAATTAAGGTACATGTTTCCACCTAAATCTCCGCTATTCAAGGCAAGCCCGTAATACGCCAAGCATACAACGAACCTATAAATTAATAATACATCGGTGTAGTCTCTACAAACACAACTTTATCTATGGTTTCTAATGGCAACACATGTTAATGCCTTCATCCAAAGATTGACATTAGTTTTGCTGAATAAAATTGAAATCATTGTCATTCCAGATAAATTGTATATGCAGCCATATAAAACATCCCACGAATCTTCAGATTTTCAATTTAACAGCTCATCTTGAAAAAAATAGATCGCATTCTATACAATTATTAAATTAACGAGAATCAGGTTTTAAGTAAATGTTGACAGTAATTTGTTGCATAACTTGCAAATAATTTCTGAAAAACTTTTGTATTACCAAAACAGAATGAAAGAAAAAATACCAGTTAAAGAAGATAATCAATGTCCGTATACAAAGGGTTCTATTGGTGAACAAATGCCATAATTTTCCCTGGTTTGGCTCTGGAACCTCTTGAAATACTTTGTTAAAGAATTTATCCGGCAACGAAACTTTGTCCCACTTGGCAGCTTTACGGATAATTGCCTTGCACTCTTCTAGTCTACCCTGGGTGTATAACCAGCGCGGTGATTCCGGAAATATACTGAAATTCAGAACCGAATAGTGTTAGTGAATATTTGTCTACTTACTTTTTATATATATACTGAAATAGCATGTATAAAAAGTAATATAGGAATGCAAAGATATAACCCATTACAACGATGTTCCGTAGGCCAAAGCAGACAATATCGGTGAGTACGAATGAGCGGACAGTACGATGGCAAGACGATATACGATGGATGTCACATTGACTGTCGCTGATTCAGTGCGACTATCGTATTGTCACTGTCGCGCTTCGTCACCATACTCTCGTAGTGTCACCATCGTACTGTCTTGTTTCGCACTTTTTGTTCTCAGAGAAAACGCACAGGCCCTCATTACGGCAAAAATATCCGAGCAGACGACTCGGTATATGATCTATTCATGGACAGCAATGTGCTTTACAACCGAATCAAAGCTAATTTGTGTTATCAGTATCGAAATTACATAATTTATTTGCTGGTTATGCTTTCTATTTTAGTTAACACTTCATAGGTTATCTACCGTATTTAGTAGTGTATACTCACATCCAGAAGAGCTGAAAGAAAATACCCGGAGCTGCACATACTATCTGTAGAGTACTCCAATCCCGGATACCGTAACCTAAACCAGCAAGGATCAGATTTCCCACCATCCAATAATAACCACCTACAAGCCCGGCAAATCTTCTCTTTGATGGACCGACGAATTCCATGCCTGATAAACAAAGTAAACCCAAATGTTTACATGAAACACGTTGAATGAGATTAACCTAGGTGATATATCAACTAATGCTGTACTTTGCTGAACGCTTTTTAGTTTTGGCTTTGTAATAAACACAGAACGATATATACTTAGACGAAAAAATGAAGAAATGATCAACTTAAATAGATTAAAATTCGAAATTGTAACAAAAATGCAGCATTTTCAAGATAAATACCCATTACAAAGAAAGGCATAAAGTTAAAGACCTATTACAAAGGAAGGCATAAATTAAAAAAAAAACATTACAAAGAAAGGCATAATGATTAATACCCATTACAAAGGAAGGCGTTAAGATAATCACCCATTACAAAGGACGGCATAAAGTTGCCGACAGCGAAGAATCCTACACAAAATGTCAAGAAGACATAGACAACATAGCTTGGTGTCCACGCAATACCCATGGCAGCCAGGAAATAGAAGATTGAGGATAGACACATTGTCGGCTTCCGGCCAAACCTGTGAGTTAAAGTTAAAATATCAACATCAGTTACATTCATATTTTTCGAAATATTGATGAAGCGTATAATAAATATATTGGAACTGTTACGCATTGCCGACAAAACAAACGACTGACAGCTGGTCATACAAGTTCTTAGGCGTGTTTATAGAAATTGTTGAATTTTTTATGAGGACCGATACGTGCTTACGATATTGTTTGGAAATACAGTCCAAACTATCTTAAGCAGCCAGTCAATGGAATGGCCAAATTGTCTGCTTAAGGCAGATAACCACTTAATGGAGGTGTAGAAACGTGCAAACATGTTTTCTTTTTCTTTTTACAGCTTTAGTACAGAGTTCTATTGAAATGACTTTTCAACTGTTACCATCTACATCAATGAATTATGAAATTGCTTGAGAACACATGCGATTAGCTTTTCAAAAGTTTCTCATTAATAAAATGGAAGGGTCAGGTTATTTTGAAGTAATGCATGTATATTACCTGTCTGAAAATAATCCGGTTAAGAAGGAGCCAGCCAAGAGTCCACCAAAGAACACCATCTGAGCGTTCGATTTGAGGATGGCCCGGTCACACACCATGTTTAACTATTAACCAAAAAATATGAATATCAATAATGAAACAAGATTAAGTTGTAGAAATTGACGGTTACTTAGAATTAAATGATAAGTAAAGTGATGTTAATGTCATAACGCTCTTTGTCGTGCCCGGTTAGCTCAATAGGGAGAACATCGGATCTGTGATCCAGGGGTCCCCCTGGCTCGATCCCCGGGAGAGGCGAAATTTCACTTTGACAATTAGGTTCGAACACTGAGTCTAAAGGTCATTTGCTTCTTATCGCTGAATGGGTTTAGTATTCGGTCACTTGCGGAAAAGTTGGTAATTGCTGCATGATTAGTTATCCCGAAAAGCCGACATGGTCGATGACCGCAGAATTATGACCAAAAATGTACTGAGTCAGCTCTGTAACACCGCACTTTGGGGTCAAACGCACTTTTGGGTCCGGCCCAAAAGTGCGTTACGTACTTTGGGGTCCAACCCCAAAGTGCGTTACGCACTTTGGGGTCCAATTTTAACCCCAAAGTGCGTTAAACAGGTATATATGCATTTTTTAACATCATGCAAACGACCGCACTTTGGGGTCATAGAAAATTAATGTTCATTATGTTTTAAATAATATATTGTAGTCAAAGTCAGTGGTAAACAAAAAATCAAGGTATTAAATAGACACAAACATGTGCCCTGAATTATAGTAGAATCAATAGGGATTTAAATGATCTTGATTAGTAAGTGAAGAACTTTCACCAAATATATCACCAAATAAAGAATTTGTATCAATTATTAAGTTTAAAATATTTTTTTTTCAAATTTTCCATTTCTTTTAAAAGAATTTACACCTTTCATTAATTCCATTGTTTTTAGCTAAATGCATTATTTTCCCGTTTTTTATTTACACATTTTATAGAAATATAAATTCTGGAAAATCTTAGTAAGACATTTCAGCAAAAAATGTGCCTGATAATATGTTGAAAGAGCCATATATTTAGCTAAATGTGACATCTAAGAAACTTGACTAGGTGTAGACGCGGCTTAAGTAGTAGTCAGTACAGGCAGTACTAAAGATATCAACTATTTAAGTAGTCGCACATTAAGAGCGGAGCTTCAGAATAATGTAAAATTCTCACTGGGGGTATAAAGGGGATTGTGGGGTATCGATCCCCCCGAGGGTTAAAAATAACGTTTTAAAGGCCCATCATGCTTTTATTTGTTTTTCTTAAAAGCTTTTTCATTTTGGTGTTCTTCTATATTATTCAAAAAATACACATTGGCCAATTACCTGAACCATCTTTTTCATTTGTTGCTTTTTGGCAATGATGAGAACAGTTATAGTGAATTAGTATTTTTATAGGGAAGTCAAATACTACAGTGTTTTGACTTCTTTTATGAATAATAATTTTACATTTATCGCCACCTTATTCAGGTAACAAGCATCTTACATTTCTCAGATACCATTATTTTAACATTATAAAATTCATGTTTGCCCTTTCTAGAGAAGTATGTAAGATTTACCATAAAAAAGCTTCTGGCGAACGGTTGTTACGGAGCTTACAAAAACTCTTAAGTTTGTTGATAAGCTTAATGTTTTTGTAAAAATCACTTTTTATAGTCCGATCGAAAAACTTGATGTTTCCCCAGAACATTGCAATAGAGTATTTTTTATAGTTCTTTGGAAAAAAAATTAACTGCATTTTATTTCATTCCTAACATATTTAAAATGGGGCTCAATATGGCACCAAAAGTTATCATGTAAATGACCGACAGAACGGGATATTTTTCGCAGCATCTCTTCATGGAATAATAACTGATCACCAATCAACAGCCCTTTCCAAATAGACACTAATATAAAAGTTTATAATAATAAAAAACAATAATTATATAAAATGCATATAATATAAAAAATGGGCCGAAAAGGGTCGGCCGAAACCAGACTTGCCCGGCCGAAAACGACTGGGCCGATTCCAAAAGTGGGCCGAAATGGGACCAAACCACTGTGCTAGTTTTATACTCACCTATGGGCTATTATGAGATTTGAAAGCTGTTTTTATTGGCAAAAATATGTACGAAAATCAAAAATAAAATATGAATGCAAAACTAAAAAAATATGTATGCAAAACTAAAATAAAATATGTATACAAAACTAAAAACAAAAAAAATGCAAATGTCACTTTTATGCCACCGTAATTTTAATATATGAACACAATTTTTAGATATTTCAAGTGGTAAGATTAATGAAACTTTTATCACTTAAGCATCATAAAGTATTGACCGCCATCTTGAATTCCACCTCAAATATTCCAATGTCGCAGATAGAAAATAAGTCAGTACTCAGTATTTAAGCAGAACTCATATGACACTTTTAGACCTCTTGAACCCAAAGTGCGTTGATATGTAGCATATTAACGCACTTTGGGTCAATTTCTCGATTTCAACCCCAAAGTGCGTTTGACCCCAAAGTGCGGTGCGAAGTTTAACGCACTTTGGGGTCGGACCCCAAAGTGCGTTTGATCCCAAAGTGCGGTGTTACACAGCTCTAATAGCAGACCAAACTTTGTCACGTAATATAGTATATATTTTGTAAATGTGTGTAAATATTAAGTGCTCAATTGAAGTTATGATTTTTCCTACATTTTCTGTCATGTAATTATATTTGGCTTGAAATGTTAATTGACTTACCAGGTTATTTCTCTTCATGTGTGTTTCAGTGATAAATGTTGACATAAATCTACTAACTTTGTTTCTGCTTTATCTTACGATGATATAGTACATATTATATGAGAATAAAAAAAGCAATTCGAAAATATATTAAATTTATTAAAACAGCTTTATATAGACGCACATGAACGAGCTTGTGCTTTTTCAATCATGTAATTTGAATTAGCCTATTAAAATATGAAATACATGTATATAAGAGGATATTGAATGAGTGTGGGTTTAATTCTACATTTATTGAACAAATCCATATTATACGAGACTCTGGCGAGCATAATATTGTTTTATTCGTTTAGTATTGAATTTACACAAATTTAATATTCTGTTATTCAAATATTCAAAATAAGAACGGTTTACAGTAATAGAGTCATTTTTCATTGGCGCGCCTTTCGTGTAAATGGGAAAAGCTAACAAATTTTCGTGGTTTAACGCTATTTTATTAAAACGCAAAGAACCCTCACGTCAAAAATGGTTTTTTCCACTGCGCCCCAAAAATTTCCATGGTTTTTTTTTTAGAATTTCTAATTCCCTGTAAAATTCAATACTAAAATTTTTGAAAATTATAAATATGCCCCGCAAAAATGCTCGCAAAAAATGATTTTATTTTACTCGTTCAATAAATTTGGTTTTAGACCTACACTCATTCAATATACTCTGTGTCTTTAAAGTAATGAAATGGAACGCAAAAGTTTCATTTTATGTTGAAATGCATCATTTTTCTTACACTGTTTCTACTTTATCTTGTGATGATACATTATATGTTATATATCATATTAAGTGAAACACATATTATATCAATTAAAGATTAACAAACAGAAAAAATGACAGCTGATAAAATAGTATTAAATAAACGAATATAGATAAATGAAAAAATTATGTTAAAAAATTACGACAATTTTTTTATTTAACACTCTAGACAAAAACACATATAATGTACACCTATTTTGTTCACTAAGAACACAATTTGTAGCGGGAAAGATATAAAAAAAGGGGACATTAATCAAAAGGATTTTTTGTTGTTTGTCTGTGGGCTTGTGGTTTGGGGTTTTTTCTGATAATTTTGGGTTTTTTAAGTGTCAGACAGCGTCAAAACTTCTAACGTCGCGACCAGAATGACATACGCTAATGTCATTTTGTTAATGTAATTAATTAAGTTGAGATGTTGTTAATTTGCATACGATAATAACAAAACTACCTACATTTTCAGTCTCTCAAAATGAATTTTAATTTCGTGTTCATCATCATGAACGTGATATGGGTTTTAAATTAAAGATTTTTTTTTCTCTTTACGACATTAAACATTATGCAATTTATTTTATCGAACAATAAAGAGATAGTTCATGAATATACGTAAGTGCAAATTGCAAATGCATAAAAACAAAATTGTTCCATTCAATTCTGATTGAATAAATAAGACAATGTTACAAATTATAATACATTTACATGTACTATAAAAGTGAACGAGTTGAACTGACTTATTAAATGAAGATGTTTGGCAGATATATTCAGTGAAAGTCAAAAAATGTTTTTCTGTATTGGTCAAAACCCTTTGAAAGTTCTATATACTTTTAAAATCTACTTTGGCAATACCAAATTTTAAATTAGCAAATACACTAAATTATAAATATTCTTGTTAAAATCCTACTAATCTCAGCACAGGCGCTAGTCACATAATCAAGTATTTTACATAACCGGTCTATATATGTATATTAAGATATATATCTTATTACAGTATATAGCCCATATAAAACTTTAAAAAGCTTGTTTCAAGCACCTGTGAATCTCAGCTGAGTGACTGATAATTTTGGGCATTAAAATCGTATGCATATATACGAAAAAGACGATTAACATGGTTTGTTTCGGTAAAATATTGTGCCTGTCACTCATTTATTACATTCATAAAAATATAAGTCTGGAAAGTGAATGTTTGGGTTTTACCTCACAACAACACAGTATGTCATACGGCGACGTTCTAGCTTTACTGTTGGATGAAGACCTAAGGAGCCCTTCCGTGCATTATTTCAGGCACGAACGGGCACCTGAGTAGAACCACCGACGTTCCATAAGCTAGCTGGATAGCTTCTCAAATGACAGAATCCTTATTCCCTAAAGGGATTCCACAGCGATGATTGGACCAACGGCCTTAACCACTTGTTCACGGACGCCCAATAAGGCTATGTGCTTATATGTTTTGTATCACATTTGCATCACATATTTGTATTTTTGTTTTTTATTTCAATATGTGTTTAGATTAACAGTTGCTACTGAAACGAACGTCAAACAATTTGCTTAAAGATTAAACTAAGTAAAATGGTCAATCAATTGTTATGCAAACCTGGCACACAGGAAATAAAAATATGTATGCTTACGTCTGCTGCTAAAGATGAACTAAATATAGACTTGTCATAGACCCAACTGTCACACTTTTTCTCGGAAATAAGACCATTTTCCGACACTGTCCTGTAACTGCATTGGTCATACTTGAATGACTCTGTGGGCGGTGCTAGAGGTATAGTTCTGTTTATTGCGGCAAGGTGAAGGTCATTCTGGATTTCATACGTGTCGTTGTCCCATCCCGGAAGTGCACATCTGATTGATTGGAATAAAAGTGTTCAAAATAAACAATAAACATTATTTGTACATGTGTTGATAAATTTTCAATTTGAAGGTAAACAAATAAATCTTCTTAGTATTTTATGCTAATTTATGTAAACACTAAAGGTAAATAAATAAAAAAAACTGATAGCAAATCTACTATGCTAATTAGCATAAAGTAGAAAGATGCAGTCATTGCGTATGTCCTTGCCCGCAGCTGACATAATGTTGTTTTCTAGTTTTAAATTTCCAATAATAAAAATTTTAATTTGAAAGTCGTTTGCTAGAATTGCAATGTTTAGCTAACAAGCTCAAGTACATACTTTTTTCAATTCACTCCAATTTTAAGTCACATTAAGTCCTGAAATTATATTTCCTCCGAAGAAAAGCAAACCTGTGTTTGATAATTTTAAAGGAGTTTCACACAGGTCAAAGCCTAAAATCATAAACTTTGAAATGTTTACATAGATAAAGTGAAGCACTTAAAATCGAAAAATCTGCAAGGAGTAATAAAGAAATATCCACCAAATTTTACTGAATATCAACTTTTTGTGCGTTTCATAGCCCAATTTAAATGAAAAGCTTTGCAACGCTTCTCATTTTTTGGTCATTTTGGCACCATTTAACTTTAGAGAAAGGGGTTGATTTTCATTGCAAATTTTATAATTCATCGTTGTTTATGGGAAATCGCTGCATGAACATATATGAATTCAAAATTTCACCACTTTCATGTTTAAATGTTGAATTCTGCTTAAGCCAGCCGGTCCTAGAGGGCGTGGACGGATGTTTGCACTTGACAATACAATCCTTGAACAGACTCAATCAAACCGGGCATGCAACATTTTCAATTTTGTCGTTTTGGACTTTATTAGGGGTTCTTATTTCCTTTATTCTATTTAATACATTATGACTTTCTTTCAGATAAAATGTAGCTTTATACTCTCATAAATCCTCCATTTCCTTTTCATTAATAGTATCATACTTTTTTCATAAATTATGAAATTTTATGTGTCGTTGGTGTAAATTACAACATGTTTACAAACGATGATAAATCTAATTAAATTCAAAAAAAAATAATTATTCTATTATTATTATAATTATAATTATTATTTTATTATTATTATTATTATTATTATTATTATTATTATTATTATTTTATTTGTAAAAAATTAGTTATACATCAGCCTACCTGTGATCAGGAATTCCAAGAACAAAGAAAGAAATAACAAACAAAAACCCAGCATACGTGCTGCATAGTGAGCCTATATACACAATGTACTTTGAGAATAAACCGAATTCTCCTAATTCTTTGTATACTAAATCAAACTGCATATTTTCACGGAAAACTTTTCTTAAACGCGTTTTAGTGTTAAATGGTCTTTAAAGCATATCTTTGCATATAGATACACAAAAACTTGGCTCACATTTTAAGATTTAACATTTATATAGCGTTTTATTTTAAATCTGATTACAATAATAAAAGGCCAAAAGAAATAATGTATTATGTGAAACGTACTTTTTGCAAGTTGGTTTCATAATTTCACTGCTTGCACCAGGGTGACACCTAGACACCGTTTAAAATGCTGCTAAAACGTGCAGTGTTCCGGAGAGTAGGAATATGTGCATATTTTAAAAATCCATTCCTTTAAAGGCTCATTATGCCCCTGAATTTTTTTTTCACTTCTCAAAAGCTTTTCATTGTTGGTGTACTTTCATAATTTCCAAAAGGTCACTCATTGGTGGAACCATTTTTATTCTTTTGCTCGTTGACTGTTAGTACTGCTTCAGTGATTTAGTATTTTGTATGGAAGTCATGATACTACTTTGCTTATGTTTGCTATTTTAATGGCAAATAATTTCACTTTTATCTCTATATAGGTAACAAACATCTAGCAAGTTCTTTAAACCATTATTTAAACAAATATAAAACTCATTTTTGCTCTTTCGTAAAAACAAAACATTTATTAATTTTTGAATCATAATGTGCAATTCTAATTTTGGTAGAAAAATAACTGATATTGCCTTTGTAGTCGATTACAAATTTGTTTATTTTTTTATTATTTTTAGATGTAATGTCTGGTTACATTTTTGGAATAAGCTTTAAGAACAATGTTGCTGGTATGTAACCAATGACGTAGTTTAAAAAAACGTTTTACATTACAACTTTATAAAGGATAAACATATATCTAGGTATTGTTTATTTATGTCTATGACCATATCTATTTGTATAAGGAGTTTGAGGTTCTTCAAATGTTGGATTTTAGTCATGTAAATCAATGTAAAGCAATTTGCATATTACCTAATAATTACTTGAGTTGTCCTCACATTAAATGAAGTACATGAGAAGTTGATGACTTGGAGACAAGATAAAGCTTATATTTACATGTGACAACTTAATTGGATAGTGCGATGATTGGATGAAACAATTAAAGAAAAGACAATAAGTTCGTTAACACAGATTAACACTAGAGGGTCACACATGACAACGCATCAGTTAAACAATTAACTTATAATATATTATAACGTGTCTTGTATAAAAAATTTACATGCAACTATTTAAAAGAAAACTTTCATACATTAATTATTATTTACGCAACCATTTGTTTTTGCCAATAGTTTTTATCTAATTCTTATTTTATTATAAAAATAGTAAAAGTACTACCTATAGAATACGTGCAAGGTTTGTTGACTCATAAGCACACAGTTTTTAAGCAATACATTATCAGGCTTTGTGTAAATTGTATGAAAATAAGTGAATGAATACATGAAATTAAAACAAGTTAATCGTAGTCCATTACTTCGGTAGAACAATTAAACAAATGCAGGTAAAAGATGTTCAATTTGTATAATTTATACTGCCTGTAAATACTAGTATTTTGTAAAGTGTACATGATTGAAAAACAAATAAGTTATAAAAGACGAATTCCACAAATTTACTTTTTTAAATGAAATGCATTTATTTAGTATAGTCATGTTCTAAGAAAGACCTATTTTTTCAGTTAAGTTGGCAATTTGACAAATGGATAAAGTTTGTTGTTGTTTTTGTTGGGGGAGGCGTGTATTAATGATTTATATACATATCTACATGTATATGACACCTGAAATATAAGAAACAGTGTATTCTGAAACTAAGTCAGGCATTTTTCGAGTTTCATATTGTTCTATAAAATCAGACATATTTTCAAATAATAGAACGGAAGAATAAATCCAAATTTGAGAATACTCGGCTAAGCAGACGCGCTAATACATAGAGTAAGCGGTATTTAAGTCAATGGGGGATTCCTTATTGTACAAACTTGGGTTAAACTAACATTGTATCGCCGAAAAATTATCATTTTAGGAACAGCTATTTTTTAATTTTCTTGTAAAAAAACTAAAATTTTAAGATTCTAATTGGAAATGTAATATGCATTCAAAACACGATAAAGGTTATTCCACAAACGTATCCCTTTTTTGAAATGTGTTACTTAAATCTAGTTTACTCTATTGGTCGGACTAAAGTCTTTAAAACATTCTTAAAAAACAACTGGACAGACAAATTACAATGTTAACAATATTGTTAAATATTCTGCGCAATATATTGGTAGCCTAAGTAAATACTGGAAACAATCGGAAACGTAACGTATAATCAAACAACTTTATAGATATTCATAGACCTACCTGTGATCAGGAATTCCAAGAATGAAGAAAGTATTAACAAATAGAAAACCAGCGTAAATACTAGTTATAGAACCAACATACACAATGTATTTTGAGAATAATCCGAATTCGCCAAGTTCATCGTACACTAAATCAAAATACATTTTTGCCAGACTAACTGATGTGTATGTTTTGGACAGATCAATGGGCTTCAAAAAGGAGACCGCATCTATGTCAAACCTTCTTATCTTTTAAAAACAATCATGAATATGTAATTACATTTAAATTAAAAGATGTCATTTTGATTACAAGATGTAGTGCCAGATTAAAGGTTACAAATTCGATTTGAGCCGCTCACGACAAAACCAACAAAGTGGGTTTGCGACCAGCATGGATCCAGACCAGCCTGCGCATCCGCGCAGTCTGATCAGGATCCATGCTGTTCGCTTACATACTCTATTACAAGTAGAGAAACTGATAGCGAACAGCATGGATCCTGATCAGACTGTGCGGATGCGCAGGCTGGTCTGGATCCATGCTGGTCGCAAACCCACTTTGTTGGTTTTGTCGTGACGCGGCTCATTTATTTATCCGTACACTGTTACTCGTACGTTTTAGTTTCTATTAGAACAATCCTGGATACAGGGCCGTTACTTTCCGACGAGAATATGTATCAAAGATTACAGGCTACATTTTGTATTATCAGAGCTCAGGGATTTTAACATGAAATGTGAAAACATCGTTTATACTAAATTCAAAGCAAAGTCAATCCATGTAACAAAAGCCTCTGCAGTTATATAGAAACTAACAACTCAGCGAATTATATTTCTTGCTAGCTGTACTCTACACTTGCTTAAAAATATATTTGAATTTCTTGTGCATACTTATAACAACAATAACAATACATTAAAATAAAATAAAATAAAATACCATAATCTGTTATAGAACAGAACAACAATTTTATTCATGACTAGTACAATAAGTACATCATCACATATACCAATATATACAATTTACAATATCCAATATGCATAATTGTCACAGTGAAATAACATACATTGTATTTACATTTCATATCAATTATCTTATGAGAATTTACTACAATTGACTGTAAGTAAATGTAGTTCTAAGAGATAATGCATTATGTATTATGTTATATCCTGGCACTCACGATGGTGGCTATAAAAAAATACGTTGTTTGCTTGTTTTACGTCATTGTTGTGGTGAATTACCTTTCAGTAAATTTACTTAAAAGTTGTAGACAATACTGTGGCCTAGTTGTTTTAGCAATGCATTTCAGTCGTAGAAGAAAAGAAATAAGATGAACGCAACATTTACTGTTAATGGTCACGTAACGAGATAAAAGGGCGTTAAAAAGATAATAATTATGCGTTTTTGTAACTGAGTATTGATATAAACAATTATATAAAACTGTTAATTTGAATGACCATTTTTCCCTTCTTTCAATATGGCTTATTATCCCCCGCCGAAAGGCGACGGGGGATATAGAAATAGTCTACGTCCGTCTGTCCTTCCGTCCGTCCTTCGATCCGTCCGTCCGTCCTTCCGTCCGAGATTTTTGTCCGGAGTATGTCTCAAAAAGTATTTAGTTTAAACAATATTTTATTTCTATTTTACAACATAAATATATACAGTAAGCATATACATGTACAAATATCATATTGAGGAGGAGATCATATTGAGGAGGAGTGCAGTGCACAAGAATGATAACTCTACCCTGCATATTTTTTTTAAGTTATTGCCCTTTGTTATTTTTCAAACTTAATGTTTGCCTAGAGCATAACTCAAAAAGCCTTTGAGATATCAACATAAAACTTCATAGGTTGATAGATCTTACTCAGGAGGAGTGCAGTGCAAAAGAATGATAACTTTACCCTTCATATTTTTTAGTTATTGCCCTTTGTTATTTTTCATACTTAATTTTTCACCTGGAACATGGAAACTTGGATTTATCTTATTGAGGAGGAATGCTGTGAGCAAGAATGATAACTCTTCTCTTTATAATTTTTTATTCATTGCCATTTGTTATTTTTCATACTTTTTGTCCATAGCTTATCTCAAAAAGTGCTAGAGGTATCAACTTGAAACTTCATATATAGATCTCATTGAGGAGGAGTGCAGCACACAAGAATGATAACGCTACCATGCATATTTTTTTTCAGTTATTGCCCTTTGTTATTTTCAGCCATCAGTATTCACATATGTTTCAAATCTTGTGCCATCAGATTTTATTACCAAAAGACCTCTTAAAATTGAATTATTCTGCTCTACTACATATATATTCTTCCAATGAGCATACACATTCGGCGGGGGATGGCCATGTTAACATGGCTCTTGTTATATATAGAAACCACGTAGATCAGTTTAATTTCAACTAATTTTTATCATGTGAGTTGTCTCTTACAGTTGGATAGAGGACGAAAAATATTTGCAATATTAGCGTGTGCCCCTGGAAAAGTTGTTTGTTCTGTAAAACAGTCAAATGATATTGAAGCATTTCTTGGCTTCAAAAAATAATGTTTTTGTTCTTTACAGAGTTTGCTAGAGTGTGCTAGAGTCTATAATAATGTATCTGTGGGTATCAATTATTGCTTCCCAAAATCACGATGCGACAGAAATAAATACATTAAGCCATAAGACGATAATACTTTCAAACTAAGATAAAGCAAAAAATGAGCCGTGTCAAGACAAAACCAACATAATGGGTTTGCGACCAGCATGGATCCAGACCAGCCTGCGCATCCGCGCAGTCTGATCAGGATCCATGCTGTTCGCTATCAGTTTCTCTACTTTTAATAGAGTTGGTAAGCTAACAGCATGGATCCTGATCAGACTGCGCGGATGCGCAGGCTGGTCTGGATCCATGCTGGTCGCAAACCCATTATGTTGGTTTTGTGGTGACGCGGCTCAAATGCATTATGCGTCGTTGTATACATAGATACAATGTACTTCAAACTTTACTTCTAACTATTGCGATACATTGATATGCAATGTGCCAATTTATAGTGGAACATTCAATATGCTAGCTATGTACACAAAAATTAGCATCGATTCTGCATTGATCAAGATGTTATTGCTTGTATTTAAAACATGTAATCGTTATTTTGTTTAGGTAAACTATCAAAGCTGTTATAAATTAATTACTGTCTGAATATTTGCAAGTCGTTCCTGTTGTCAAGGATACGATATACGTTTGTATACATGCAGAATAATAACTTATTTATTTATTTATTTATCATCGTGCACATGTATAGAAATCAACATTCATGAGTGTGATTAAATTAGATATAAAGTATATAGCGAGTCAATTAATAAAGTTAATTGGATTTCATGTACCGAAAGTAAATAATGTATATATGACATAGATAACGATTTGTTGCAAATCTGATGACAAATTGACACGCACAAAATAACCGCGGTAGTTCACACTCTGTACGTAGTATGCTTAAAGATCATATAGCACAATAAAATGAAATATTTGAATTGTAAAATTTTCAGCACGTGCCGAATTTCAATACAACGGGACAGTTTCTCATAAACTAGGGCATAAATGACGGCCTGAAAGAATGTCCGACTCTCCGGCAGCATTTAGTCAGTGATAATATGACCAAATGTCTGGCATGACGAAGACAAATTACTTCTAAAATAATTTTATCGCTCATTTCTTTTGATGATATTTACCCAAAATGTTACCGATGTAATTTACAACCCTCGAAAAATGCAATGGGAAGTTGCAAACAACCTTAGTTAGCATTATCATTATCATCATTATTATTATTATTATTATTATTATTATTATTATTATTATTATTATTATTATTATTATTAATGATAATGTGATGACATCATTTATGTCATGGATGTTTCTGGATCTGGATCTGGATGATACGCAAGATTACCAAGAAGGCAAACTCTACTATAGGATTTCTAAGAAGGAACCTGAAACACTGCCCTGAATCTTGTCGCAGTACATCATTCCTGTCTCTAGTACGCTCTACCCTGGAATACAGTTCGATCGTCAGGGATCTATACCTCCAGAGAGACATTGGCAAGCTTGAGAAAGTCCACAGAAACGCTCAACTAGTTTATCACAGGCCACTACACCACCATAAGGTGGTTGGGGCTGGTGCCAGCCCTGCCTTGCCAAAACTACTTGACGTCCGTCCGAGTAAAAAACGCATATTGAAAGCTAACACTTTTGAGAATTGTGCCACAGAAAACATTATTGAAAACCAGATTATAAATAACTCTAAATGCTTTAAAATTGTAAATTGTGCAGTGTAAAACTTTAAGTTATAATCACGAACAATTGTCGATTGGAATAAATTGAGAGATAGTGTTGCGCAAGCTAAACAGTAGACGGTTTCAAATCAGCCGTATTCCATTTTGATTAACTCCTCTCTCCCGTTGCTTAATTTTATGCTGAAAGGATCTGCAACTTATATGGGTACTCCATTTCAGGTCGACTGATATGGAAAGTCCTAGATATGGGTTCTCTGGTACTTGTTGAAGGATGTGGTTGTCCAACTGGTAAAATCTAGACGATTTCTGGTTGATGCTCATCATGTAGCATTTCTTCGAGTTTAAAGCGCATTCCCTGTTTCAAGCTGGCAGAGGTCTTATTTTTCGGTACAGAAGGCAGTCTCATCAACAAATAAACGTACTGTCATGTACTTATTTCTTAAATTCCTATTAAACTTACATCGCTGTAGCATACTCCCGCCAGTTCAGTCTTTAGTCCCAACCACCACCCCATTACCCCGAGATTACAATACAGCAGTAGATCAGTAGATCTTGAATTATAGTATAACTACTTTTGTAGTTAATGTCTAAGCTAGCTGAGTATAGCTAGCTGAGTATAGCAGTTAAAAGAAAATAACATGCAAGCGTTCTCCAGTAAAACAATTTCATTTCATTTACTTGCTTTGAGTTGATTTACACACTTGTCGGTATTTCATTCTCAAATTGAGTACTCTCTACAAAGGAGAATTTTACACACACGTGAATTTTGTTTTTCTAATTTGTACATTTTACAAAATCTTGAAAATGTCATCCTGGAAAAATGCCAGCAAGGCTGGTGCTCGTTCTTACAAAGAGAGAAGTCAGGTAAAATAGTGATAAAATGTTAAATTGAACAAAAATTAAGTAAAGAAATACCATTCTATCTATCTATCTATCTATCTCTGGATACTGCCAACCCCTCTTACGAGTGTTAAAGGCAGGTATACATTGTATGCTAGCTGAAGGCTAGTTCTGGCTTCCAAAACTTTATAAGCCGCTTTTTAACATTTTTGTTTTTCATCAGATGCGGCATTAAAGTTTTGGATTAGACCCGTTACGAAACCTAACCAGAATAACATAAGTTGATTTATTCTTGTTTTTCACTTGCAAATACAATTGACCCGATCAATTCTTGTGCATTTTACGGTAAAACAATTATTTAAATATCGTTCTATACCAATTCAAGTAATAAAATATTAATACCGTCATTAAAATTGCCTATTTAACTGTAAAACATCAATTTTCGCCGACTACAGTCGGCCATGACATTCAAGTGCCACGCGAGACCTCGTATGACGTCATTCGCGGGAACAGATTTGAATAGAGTTGTGTACTATATTTAGAACATTTTGTTGACATGATTTCGATATTTTTATTCAAGATAATGTTTTTATTTATTTTCATAAATTTATTAGTATTTTAATATGATTTTATTGAATATAACAGTCAGTAAATAACCTTTTTCAACATCTTAAAAAAAAGTAATCTATAAAAATATTGGAGGCACATGGGTTCATAAAGGTCAATCTCGTAATCACGTGGTCAAACATTTTGGCAAGATGGCGGCCAAGTGCCGAAATTTTTACCTGTCGGAAACTATTAGGTAGTTTATGTTCCTAATAAGATTTTTATTTGTCCATCCTTAGCTTATCAACAGATTATATATCGTTTTATCAAGGTATGCTTCACTTTACTTCGTGGCATGTTCGATAAATAAATACGAGCGTGTCAGATTCCTGGCACGATTATTGGTGGACTTTCCCTACGGGGTTATCTTCAGCGTTCACGTCATGTCATATATATAAACGGGTACGCTGAAGACCTTAAGCTAGCTGAAGGCGGACCTAGTCCAATAGATTAGACGTTACAGGCTTGTTATAGTTTTATGTTGGTCAAGCCTGACGTCTAATAGTTATTGCTCATAAACGCGTAGCATTTTGAAAAATTAAAAAAATGTCTGTTGACTTGCCTTTCAAGCTTTATGCAAAAGCTTATATTCTGTTCTTTAAATTGCCTGGTCTATCATTAACAAAAACTTTCAAACAATGTACTTATTAATTAAAAATAAAATATAAATATCAGTCTATTTTGCTCATCGGCCATACTGGTTAAGTAAGGCGTTTTACAGATTGATTCCAATTTTTGAACGGAAAAATATATTCGAACACACTGACGGTGCATGGGAAATTATTTCGTTGAAAAAATATTCCGTTAGAAACTTCTGGACTCATTTAAACGCTTGCATTTGAATTAGCCAATCAGATTTCGCGCACTGTATGGCGGCCATTTGTATATCGGCTGTACAAGGAATTTAATTAAATGAGAGGATTTAATCATGACTTTTCGGATGTGACAGTTCAATAATTTTATTAAAAGGTATTCATTTTTTAGTTTTGTTCATAAATAGGTCAAAATTAATGTAAATACACGCTGTTTTAATTGTTTAAATTCATTAGATTTAAATCGATGTCTAATGTCAATTTTTTTGCTACACGATTTTGCAAAGATCTGTTAAGACCTAACGTAACATGGAAAATGAAAAATGTAAAATATCAGATTAATGAATGATAAATATGAAATATGTTACGTATAGGTCTTATAATTAGGACTAAAGGCGGACCCAGCTGAAGGGGAGTTAGTCCAACTTGTCAATCTCAACTTTTTTTTAAGGAGGAATTTTTTTAATGGGTGTCTTTTTCCAAGTCGACCACGAACTGCATTTTTCTACACGGACACTGCCCAATTAGAAGTTGTTGGTAGAGATGACTACAACTATCTATAAGAAGTTCTGTAATCCATATAGTCCTATAAATATGACGTCGCTTTGAGATATTTTTGCTTCTGGGCAAGGCAACGTCATATCGAAATTGCTCAAAAACCCATAGCATGTTCCGCCAGAAAATCGGGCGGAACGAAAAACAATGAAGACAGCGTGTATTTACATAAGTTTTGACCTATTTATGAACAAAACTAAAAAATAAATACCTTTTGTCAAAATAATTAAACTGTCACATCCGAAAAATCATGATTAAATCCTCTCATGTATTTCAATTCTTTTTACAGCCCATAAACAAATGGCGGCCATAAAGTGCGCGAAATCTGATTGGCTAATTAAAATGCAAGCGTTTAACTGAGTCAGAACAAGCTAACGGAATATTTTTTTAACGAAATAATTGCCCATGCACCGTCAGTGTGTTCGAATATATTTTTCCGTTCAAAAATTTGGAATCAATCTGTAAAGCACCTTGCTTAACCAGTATGGCTGATAGACAAAAATAGATTGATGTTTATATTTTATTTTAAATTGATAAGTACATTGTTTGAGACTTTTTGTGTATGATTGAGCATGAAATTGAAAGAAAAGAAGATAAGCTTTTGAATAAAGCTTGAAAGGCAAGACAATAGACATTTTTTGAATTTTTTATGATGCTATGCGTTTTTGAGCAATAACTATTAGACGTCAGGCTTGACCGACATAAACTATAACAAGCCTGTAACATCTAATATATTGGACTATAATCCATAATGATTATCAATATTATATCATATTTACGTCAGTTTTAATGATGAATGATATTGAAATAGCCTTTTATACAGTTATAATTATTTCTATCGTAAATTGTAACAGTGATAACGAGTGATTAACAACAACAATAAATCGGCAAATTTATAGGGGATATTGATAATCAAACACAAATATACGTTTGTCGTATTTTAATCATCAGTTAGCTTGCTTTTTTATCATGTGCAGCATTCGTATCATTCATAGTCTTCCCTGATAATTTAATGTATTTTAAACGAAGCAACAAAGTCCCAAGACTTCATTTTTAGCTCGACTATACGAAGTATATGGAGAGCTGTCCTACTCGCCCCGGCGTCCGCGTCCAGATTTCAGATTAAAGTTTTGGTGCAGTAAAATATTTTTCACTATAACTTTGTCATTTCTTAAGGTATCAACTTCAAACTTCAAATATATGTTCCTTATCATCAACCACATCACATGTGACAAGGTTCATAACTCTAGCACCAATATTTTCAGATATATCTCCCCCTGAACTTAGAATTTTCCTTAAAAAATACTATTTTTTACTGTTACTTCTTTATTTCTTAAGTGATTTACCTCATACTTCAAATATGTACCTTATCATCATCCCCATCTTATGTGACAAGGTTCATAACTCAAGCACCAATATTTTCAGATTCATCTCCCCTTGAACTTAGAATTTTCCTTAAAAAATATTATTTTTTACTGTGACTTATTTATTTCTAAAGGGATCAACTTCCCCTTGATCTTGGAATTTATGTTTACAAATGTTATTTTTTTACTATAACTTAATACATAATTATACATAATTGATTTTTCGTTCATAGTTTTGTCCTCCTTACTTCGTCCGGTATTTTATTAGTCCAGCTTCGCTGTCTACTGTGACAGCTCTTGTTTCAATAAAGAACTGAATGCACATTATCCCACTTAATTTCTCACTCAATAGTAATCATGTTTTAAATCCATCATAACTGTTGCAAATGTAAAGATTACCCCGCTAAATTTCTGGTCTCCTGTCTCTACACCGGCAAATATTGGAGATCGAGAATCAGCTACACATTTTTTTTCATGGTCGTTCTCAGTTCTAAAGCAGTCATTTCCATATTTATTTCATTTAAAGTTATTGCGGAATTGTTTGTTTTACGATAATATCATTACATGTCCGCCAAAGTAACATTTTACGATGCAAATTTTAAAAAATCACTGGTATGCATTCAGAGAGCTGTCATTGAATAATTTTTTATTGAAATAAGTAAAAAAATGTTTATTCTAATAATTTTTTTAAGAACTGAAAGAGCTTTGTTTTCTAATTTTAACCGTTTAAATCGATTCAAACTAGCATCAGTGTTGCTGATAAATTTTTCATGCGTAAAAAAAAACAGTTAAAATTAAGCTTAATGGTTTGACAGTAGGAAAAAAAAGTTTGTTAAATGGGTCAAACCATTCATGCTTAATTAAGTAGGATAAATTTAAGGGAAGTAACAGAGAAAGGTAAGGATATAGAATACTTGTTTCTGGAAAAGTAAACAACATATTGGCAATATTTTTATAATATGTATCCAGTAGATCATGAATAATGAAAATATTAATCAAGTGAAAACATAGACAAACTCAAAGCACGGTTTACCTTCTCCAAAAAGTCTCCTCCGATTGCAGCATATTTACAATATCTCTGATTTCATTGGTGCATTACGTTACCGAAATCAACTTTATTTAGGGAACTTTACCGATAGAGTTACATGTATATATTGAAATGGAGATGAAGCTATGATGTCATACACTTACATGTTAATTCTGTATCAGGAATTTATAATCCCTCAAGTTCACATTTTGTGAGATTTTCGGAGACCATGTTTGACAGTTAATTGACACCAGGAAATTAACCATGGTATCATAAATTTGTTACGGTAATCAAAAGAAGTGAAAAGAATTTGCAAAGAATGTGAAACAAAAAGCAATAAAGATTAAGAAGATATACATTATTCTCGGTAATGGCTGAAACTGAAAACAAATTTGGTTAACTTTTTAAATACATAAATGTAAAACTATATGGTAGAAATTGATCAAATTGAAGGGCAAATGAATCTTGTGCAATAGATTGTGTGTCTCGTCGAGCAAAGTTTCTATTTTTAGAGCTTCTTAACCCTGTGTAATTTAAATCTGAGCTTTACGGAAATAAACTCATCAAAACTAGCCAAGATAAACATCTTGCTTGGTTTTTCATTATTGGGCATAAATAACTTAACTTTCATTTAAAATCCACCAAAAATATTAAATACACATGTAGGTCATACATAGAAAAGGAGTGTAAATTGGGTACAAACACATCATCGTTGGGTAAGGAACCAATGGAGCGTTCTTTTCTCCAAGTCAAGATTTTCCATTCATCAAAGTGAACATGGATTTTGACAGAAATATTTAAAAAATTTACGTAATCCAAGCACTGAGAATAGTCAAGCATGCTGTCCTAGGCTACTTACAGCTCTTACAGTATTCACAACTTCAGATTCACAAAACTATTTGCTATTGTAATAGATTATTAGCAGAATATTGCATGTTTTAACAATTTTTTATAACTTAGGTTTTTCATAAATTTTTAATTCAGCCAGCAAGTCGATCTCACCTTGGTGCTTTGGAAAAGAAAAAAGATTACAAGCAAAGAGCTGAGTATGTTATTTGATACAAACTGAAAATTGAAAAAAAAATCTTTTTCCATATCTATTTTGAGGTTTTTGAATGTGAACTTTGAGTTAATTTTTGTTCAAGTTAATTCTGTTTTATCGAAATATTCTTTACTACAATATTCTGCCGACGATGTGTTTGACTTTAGATATAAGAAAAAATTGGAGTGGGTTCCTGCTAGGTAGTGAGACTTGTTTTATATGTTTTATGTAATTGTTTAAATATGTCAAGTGTATAGTGGTCTTTTGGTATAATTTGGGTGGGTTCTAGTTGCCAGTTATGTTATCTCTTTGTGGATAGATTTTTATGTGTATGGATTTTTTTTATTTTGGTACATAGATATTGTTTGCATATGTCACTGTTACACAGCTTGACAACTTCCTTCGATAGTAAGTTGAGAAAAGCTTTGTAAATCTGTGTTATTATTTTATTTTATCAGAGATTGTAAATCTGTGTTATAATACTATGATGTTATTATTTTATTTTATCACAGATTGTAAATCTGTGTTATAATACTATGATGTTATTATTTTATTTTATCAGAGATTGTAAATCTGTGTTATATAATACTATGATGTTATTATTTTATTTTATTTTATCAGAGATTGTAAATATGTGTTATATAATACTATGATGTTATTATTTTATTTTATCAGAGATTGTAAATCTGTGTTATACTACTATGATGTTATTATTTTATTTTATCAGAGATTGTAAATCTGTGTTATAATACTATGATGTTATTATTTTATTTTATTTTATCAGAGATTGTAAATATGTGTTATATACTACTATGATGTTATTATTTTATTTTATCAGAGATTGTAAATCTGTGTTATAATACTATGTTGCTATTATTTTATTTTATCAGAGATTGTAAATCTGTGTTATACTACTATGATGTTATTATTTTATTTTATCAGAGATTGTAAATCTGTGTTATAATACTATGATGTTATTATTTTATTTTATCAGAGATTGTAAATCTGTGTTATAGTACTATGATGTTATTATTTTATTTTATCAGAGATTGTAAATCTGTGTTATATAATACTATGATGTTTATATTTTATTTTATTTTATCAGAGATTGTAAATATGTGTTATATAATACTAATGATGTTATTATTTTATTTATCAGAGATTGTAAATCTGTGTTATACTACTATGATGTTATTATTTTATTTTATCAGAGATTGTAAATCTGTGTTATAATACTATGATGTTATTATTTTATTTTATTTTATCAGAGATTGTAAATATGTGTTATATACTACTATGATGTTATTATTTTATTTTATCAGAGATTGTAAATCTGTGTTATAATACTATGATGCTATTATTTTATTTTATCAGAGATTGTAAATCTGTGTTATAATACTATGATGCTATTATTTTATTTTATCAGAGATTGTAAATATGTGTTATAATACTATGATGTTATTATTTTATTTTATCACAGATTGTAAATCTGTGTTATAATACTATGATGTTATTTTTTTATTTTATAACAGATTGTAAATCTGTGTTATAATACTATGATGTTCTTATTTTATTTTATCAGAGATTGTAAATCTGTGTTATAATACTATGATGTTATTATTTTATTTTATCAGAGATTGTAAATATGTGTTATATACTACTATGATGTTATTATTTTATTTTATCAGAGATTGTAAATCTGTGATATAATACTATGATGTAATTATTTTATTTTATCAGAGATTGTAAATCTGTGTTATAATACTATGATGTTATTATTTTATTTTATCAGAGATTGTAAATCTGTGTTATAATACTATGATGTTATTATTTTATTTTATCAGAGATTGTAAATCTGTGTTATAGTACTATGATGTTATTATTCTATTTTATCAGAGATTGTAAATCTGTGTTATAATACTATGGTGTTATTATTTTATTTTATCAGAGATTGTAAATCTGTGTTATAATACTATGATGTTATTGTTTTATTTTATCAGAGATCATCAGAGGAAACAAAATACACTAAAAGCTTTGACACAAAAAGCTCTAGCAAGGAATCCAGATGAGTTCTACTTTAATATGGTTAAAACTAAAAAGAGGGTAAGTTGTGCCCATTACTCTTGTAATTTATTTTTACCGCAGTCAGTGACTGAGCCAAAAGTTAGCATGTTACCTTAAACTTTACCAAAATTCAATACTTTGACCTGATGGTCAAGGTCTTTAAAAGCTAAAGGCCAGGGTCATTTCAACCTTTTAAAATGTCTTGTCCAAAAGGTTGTTTTGTTCACGTATGAAAACAATTAATTGATTAGTTAAAGTGAATATATCCAAATAATTAAGAAGTATCTCATTTATGCCAGGCTAAAGCTTCTTTATATAATATCTCCTTACTGTACATTTATCTTCAATTTTAGTCAAATAAGCATAGAACCAGAGCGTGTTGTTGATTATCCATGGCCTGTACATATCATAACATCTATAGAATAGTGCTAAAATCAAATAAATGGTGTACAGTTGTAAAAATGATTACTTTTGTATACAGTGTTTGCTCATTTCATTCTCTATTAACAATGAATACCAGGTGAAGTGAGGTATCAAGAGGGAATAATATTTAATCTAAAATTAAAGTTCTGTACATTATTATTAAATTAGTTTAGATAAAATAGATAAATAAATTAAATTCAGGAAAGCTTGTAATTATTTCCATGTTAAAAAACTGTTGAAAAGAAAAGCAGAATCCTTTGATATCAATTTTAACTGCTAACATTAACTGATTATTTACATTTGTATTTGCTACTTTGATTACATCATAGTAATACCTTATTGTTAAATAATTAATGCTTTCATAAAGGATGGGATACATCAGCTTAAGAAAACAACAGAGGTTTACACACCTGACCAGAAAAAACTCATGTTTTCTCAAGATCAAAGATATGTGAACATGAAAAGATCCTCTGAATTAAAGGTACTTTGTTTTGATTTACTTATGTTTGCCAAAAATGTTCTCTTCTTGATAAATTAAGGCCTCCAAGTTCTTATTATATAATAAAAAAAAATTCTTATTTTCTAAAGACTCGATATTTCTTGCCTGTAATTTGTAATAAATGGAAATGTCTAAAAATAGAGCTTTACTGGAGTATAGTTCTAAGCTGTTAAATGTTTTATTTGATACAAATGATTGTATATTATGCAGGTAGATATACATGTATGAAACTTAAAAGCATGTGTAATGATTAGTAAATTATATGTAAACAAATTGAGTCAACAAATTGAACTTAACTGGACAACATAAAAGACATAGAAATGTTAGGTAAAAGTAAATGGGCAAATGAATTTGAAGTTTTATGTACAAACTTAACAAAGTCATTGAAATTCACAGACAAACTGTCATGAAATATTATTTCAATATTTTTTTCTATTTTTACTGTGATATCTATTGAATATAAAAATCTTTATCGGTCTACCCTGCTTAAATAACATGTACATTGTATTGAATAAATATAGATTGAAGAAAAATAATCATTTTAAGACAATATGATTATACATGTATTATACTTTTTGTTCATTAGAAAATAGAGCGGTTGAAGTCATCATTACATATGGTAGACAACACTGAAGAGCCACAGAATAAACATACAGTATTTGTAGAGTCAAAGAAAGAAGGTAATGCTATACATAAAGAGTGAAGGTTATAGTAAAGGCTATGCAGATTAACTCTCTAATAACATTATAAATACTGAAAAAAAGGATATGAGGAGTGGTTGATAAGCTGTCTGCCTCTCAACACAAGGAGTTGGTTTAAGCCCAGCACTTGTCACCAAAATATTGCTCATATGACAACAGGGCTCAAGGTTATAAAACTTCTTTCTGAGATATGTCTTGGAACTCTTGATCTTCATTGGTCAGTGCACTTTTATTTTGTGCCAGATTCAGTCCAATCAAATACCTAAGATCCGAATTTTAGCTTGGAGAATTATTTTACATGTACATTGTATAACGTTCGACCCAGACTGGTTAGTTTCAGGTTGAAAATTTGAAATTGATTATCTAGCTTTTGTTTAACTTATCTAAATTTATATATGAGTAGTATATAATATGACGGTTCCGGGACACTTTGAAGCCTAAAAAAGTGTTTATCTATCAAACCAAAGGGTAAGACAGCTCGACATGGCTTACCCATCAACCCAAAAAGTAAGACAGCTCGACATAAACCCCATTTATTGATTTAAGAACACCCTCAGGCCAAAAACCCCCCGGAACCATCATATTATATACTACTCATAAATAGAATACTGTAAGACAGTCTAAAAGGCTCTTGTAAGGGAACCAACGAAGGCGGGAACCGACGAAGGCTCTTGTACTTTTTTATAATTTAAATATATAAATGAGTTTACAAAAACAAATATATTGTTTAAAAGAACGAACATACACTGATAATGTAAATCCTCAATATGTTACAACAAAAAACGGAAGATTAATGATAAAAGCCGTGTGTGCTTCATGCGGTAAATTGAAATCTAAGTTTGTAAAACAAGGCGGTTAATTATAGGTAAAAAAAAATGTTTATCCTTTTCCATACCTTAGGAACCAACTTTTAATTAGTTGCAGCCTATAAATCAATATGTTATTATCGTTCCGTATCACGTGGACAGTTTTTCCGCTAATAGTCTAAAGATCAATAGTGAAACGTCATCCAATGTCCAGAACATTCGCCTAGTGTAAAAATCAGTAGGTGATAAATGCGTTGTCATTATTTCATCAGCGAGGAATACAGAGTGATTAGACAGAATGTAAGTTGTTTTACCATTTTTCTCTAACAAATATAGTAAATGAATTATTTATTCTTTTATCTAAGAAGTTCTTTCGTTAATCATTAAATTTTGTTTTTATTTTAGGGCTGAACAATTTGCCATAGAAGTTTGCAAATATATAAAAATCTCTGGAGGAATTTCTTTCTCGTAAAACGGAGAACGGAGAAGTAATTACGCAGGATGAATACAATAAAATGTGTATTTATAAAAACACAATTGGGTACATTTCTAACATTCATAATTTTATGAAAGATCATCATCAAAAAACAGTTACAGAAGATGAAATGGATTCGTTGAATAATAAACAAAAAGACTTTATCAGTACAGAGGAATTCAAAAATATTAACGATTTGGGATTGAAATCATTGCAGCAGGTTCCAGATGTGCAACAAAATAATAAAACAACAGCAAACAAATCATACAATCAAGTTAAAAATGAGGTACAAAAATCATATTCAAAAGATCGGAACTTAGCTGGAGAGGTTACTTTGGAGCTTGAAAACACCGACAGCTGTTTTAAAACTTTAAAAACACTAGACAGGCATACGCAGAGTGCTGGAAGAACAAAGTTGTTATATAACATTCAAAAAGGAGAAGTTTTAAAAAAAATCAAGGATTTTGAAAAAGGTGGATTTTTAGCTCGACTATTCGATAAGAATAAGTAGAGCTATTGCAGTCACCCGAGCGTCGGCGTCGGCGTAACCACTTATGTTAAAGTTTTTGTAATAGTTCAAATATTTTCGAAGTCCATAGACATATGGCTTTGAAACTTTGCACACTTGTTCACCATCATGACCCCAACCTGTAGACAGGAGGAGGTAACTCTATCAAGCATTTTGACAAAATTATGCCCCTTTTTCGACTTAGAATTTACGTTAAAGTTTTTGTAATAGTTCAAATATTTTCAAAGTCCATTGACATATGGCTTTGAAACTTTGCACACTTGTTCAACATCATGACCCCAACCTGTAAACAGGAGGAGGTAACTCTATCAAGCATTTTGACAAAATTATGCCCCTTTTTCGACTTAGAATTTACGTTAAAGTTTTTGTAATAGTTCAAATATTTTCAAAGTCCATTGACATATGGCTTTGAAACTTTGCACACTTGTTCACCATCATGACCCCAACCTGTAGACAGGAGGAGGTAACTCTATCAAGCATTTTGACAAAATTATGCCCCTTTTTCGACTTAGAATTTACGTTAAAGTTTTTGTAATAGTTCAAATATTTTCAAAGTCCATTGACATATGGCTTTGAAACTTTGCACACTTGTTCACCATCATGACCCCAACCTGTAAACAGGAGGAGGTAACTCTATCAAGCATTTTGACAAAATTAAGCCCCTTTTTCGACTTAGAATTTACGTTAAAGTTTTTGTAATAGTTCAAATATTTTCAAAGTCCATTGACATATGGCTTTGAAACTTTGCACACTTGTTCACCATCATGACCCCAACCTGTAAACAGGAGGAGGTGACTCTATCAAGCATTTTTTTACTATCAAGCACTAAGAATAGTCGAGCGTTGCTGTCCTACCGACAGCTCTTGTTTAATAAAATTAAAGAAAATGGTATACCATTTAAAATTTCACACTGTAACTTTTTAATTAAATTGTACAAGTTTTCACTCAATCATTCTAATATAATTCATTGTTCATTGTCATTGCATTTTCTACAAAAGCATTGGAGTGTTATTCCACGGATATTTGATGAATTGAAATGGTAATTGAATATCCGTGGAATAAGAGTCAATGAAGCGCAAAACGACGAGTGTCGGCACACTCTTGGCTGATTTTACCATTCGCTGTGTTGAATATTGGATAGCTTGTAAGGGAACTGACGAAGGCTCTTGTATTGGAAAACTTTTGTAGAGTCAATGAAGCGCAAACCGGCGAGTGTCGGCAAACGCTTGACTTTTTTTAAACATTATTTATTAGTGAAATAGTTTATTATTGTTTGTTCATTTTCTTTTTGATTATTGATGTTTAAATGTTTGTATAATATATCATATAAAGACACTTTCTGTTGTAATAAATGTATGAAATATAAACAATAATAACCACACAACACACTTGTTTTATCTTGATACTGTATGTTGTTATAATTCAAACCTGGAATGTAACTGATTACCTCTTTTGTGGAGGAAGTCCGAAAGGGTCGAAGTAATTATTTCTGTAATAACACACCCAATGTGTACCCGGTCCAATAAAGTCATCTAAATTTATTATCCCACATTCTTTACTATTAGAAGGTAAATTATTTCTACTGAAGACGCCTTGAAAGTTTTGAATACCAAGTTGTTTTACCCATTGTTCTATTTCAAAGTTAGATAATGGTTTGTTCAGGAATTTTTTTTTTTTTTTTTTACCCTGGGAATTCGTCTATATGGAACTCGTTGTGCATCAACCTGTAAACCCTTGCCACTTAATAATGATGTAATTAAAGGTATTCCTAGAGATGCTGCTAACATACCAAGGAAACCACCATCTTGCCGTTGCTTGTTATTTAACTTAATTACCCCGTCATTCATTAATTGTTTTCTTTGCTGGGGTGTAATAAATGGTAATATTTTATTTCTTTTATTTCTTGCTACAGATACCATACCGTTTCCAAGTATTTTACTTACACCAGTACTAGCCAAACCACTTAATGCTCCAACACCTAAAGGGGCTAATATTTTTGGAGCCAATTTTGTAATAAACGGAATTAAAGTGTTAAGAAAACCGCCTTGACTGCGCATTTGTTCCCGTGATATCTTAATTTCTAAGCCAGATTTATTCTGTTTAGCCCTATCAATTTTATTTATTTGTGTCTGTGTTAAAAGTATTGGAAAGTACCATTTAAATCTTCATACTTCAATCTTAAAGTATAAGGGCATTTATCTCTATATGATTTTCGCAAGTTTGTGCTTTTGTCCTTCTGATAAATTTATTTTATATTCAACGTAAGACATTTATATAATTTATATAATTATTTTTTTTACCAAAGACGTCTGTCTTAAACAAAAACAATTTCATTTCCAATAGTATTTAATTGAACTGTTTCTTCACATGTTACAATGGAATATACACGAATAGCTGCAGCTGGCGGTACATTTAATTTTGCAATTAATGTAAGATGCTTAGGATCAGATGCAATTCCTTCTTTTATAAATTCCAAGTGAAAATGTATGAATCCAAACAAAACCTCAAAGTTTGATATATTTAAAAGGGACCCAGTATTTTTTATCATTTTGTTTGTGAAAATAATTTATTACATCGTCATATATTCTCGTTATACTAGAATATTCTGTTTCGGGGTAAAAAACACCATTTCCAACTTCAAGACGACAAGATTGCAAAGTACAATTGCTATTATTAGCATTTACTTTAAAAGTATCTAATAAATGGGGGTTTTGTTCTTGTGAATTACTTTTATTAGCTCTTTGTAAATAAACAAACACATGTTTAGGATTCATTACACCAGCTGTTATTCTAAAAGTAAAAATGCTTTGTTCTATATTAGATGATTGTGTGACCATTTCTCGAAGATAGTTCCACTTTTTTGCTTTCAAATAATGTTCAGAAATCAAACTATATCCTTCAGCGTTAAAAATTAACCGAGGAACCCATAAGATAAGTTTAGTAACTATAACTCTTCCATCACCAACTCCAGCTGCCTTATGGATTAATTCATTGTCGTTAATTAATTGTAATGTAATTTGAATTTGGCTAGGGGGCAACATATTTGTCTCTAAACTCCGAAAAAATGAATAATTGTTTAAAGAGATTTTACATTTAATTCCTTACCTCCTTGAGCTAATAATTTTCTTGCAGCAAAACCTTTATTAAATCCAGCCTGATTAGCTCTAGA